AAGAAAGTGCTTGGATTAACATTTTGTAAGGTACAAGTAACCTTTCCAGAACGCATGTGATATTTTTAATTGAAAAATTATACATATTTATGAATAAGCTAAAACTTACTACATACTGCAACAAATATGAAATGATTCTTTCTGCTAAATACTATACTAGATACAAAAATACAACAGTAAACAGATCCTGATTTATGCATAATTATTTGTCTAGTATTTATAGTTCAACTTGTAGCAGCCTTAATAAAAATCTTGAAACAGAAAATTCTTCCCAGAATATGTCTACATAAAATCGACATAAAAATTTAGCTTTTATCTTTACACGTAGTTTCGAATAACTACATGCAGAGAATGCACTACAGTCAAAAGTCGTTAATTCGGACCTCAAAGCTACAAACTTTCTGCGCATGCATTGCGTTGACGCATGTGCGTAAGACCTTTACGGCTGCGTATATGCGTGTGCGCATGCCAAAATACATTTACGCATGCGCGTTTAATGTATAACGGACAGTATAAGCTAAGCTAAAATTATTTAATTCAGTTAATGTTGCAGATTGCGTTGTTCCTTAATCTTCGAATTGGATCCGGCTTATTATTTTTTGCAGACTGTTAGAGCAATTTTATAAAAGTAAGCTCGAACTTTCGATTTTGTCATATAGAATTTCCGATACATATTTTACTAATATGTAAAGGATCTACAAAGCAAAAGTGTGTTTTGAAGTCCCTTAAACAAAAAGTGGAATTGCTGCAAAAAAGGGATAAAGGCATATCCTTTGTTTATCTAACCATTCCGAAATCTGTTATCAATTCACGCTGGCTCTGCGGCGAGGGGGACGACGGGGGCGCGCAATGAATTGGAAGTTGATCTGTCAGCACTATCCTTATCTTCAGGGCAGATGTTTTTATTTTATTTGGCTTATAATTCTTTACTAAATGTAGTATTTCATCTCGATGTACTCAGCCTTTGTATGATTTAAATCAAATTCCTCATCATTATAATTCGCTTCCGATAGCGAAGAAAGTAAACAAATAAATATTAACCTTTTTTTTTTTGTAAATTTTGATACCCTTTAGATCATAATTGTTCTTTATTTCATAGATTACAGTTTCATATTTTTAATTTTATAATTTCTGCATGCCATCTTACCAGATTTAAACTGATGATCTATAATCCGGAATCGCCGAAGTCCCGACGAGTCCGGATTAACGACTTTTGACTGTATTTAATAATCATCACTTTTTATGCTTTAAGTTACTGGCAAACAAGGAATACTAAAACAATCATGGTATTTCCATGGTTTAAACTTAACAGCAAAAAAGATAAAGTAATTCCTATCCACAGTATTTCAGCTGCTATAGAATTCAAATGGTTAACTCCTTATAAATAGTTTTATTATTTCAAATTTTTAAAGTTTTTACATGGTTACTTATCCTAGACTATGCCAAAATTCTAAAATTCACTTCTAACAATCCTTTTTATTACCGTATATTCTGGGGTATAATGTGCCCTTTTAATACAAAAAATGAGATTGAAATTTACAGATGCGTGCTATATGTCAGATATAAAAATGATAAGATTTAAAAGAAAAGTTGAAAATGTAAAAATTTTATTTCTACGTGCACCTAGATGCTGTTACTGGCAATTTTCTAGGACTCAGTTCGCAACCCTCTCTTCTAAGATAGATCATTTCATTACTCCTTTCAACAAATCATGTTCATTTTGTAGCATATTAATTATTTTGGTATCATTTTTCTTCCACCTCACGTATGGAACCAATACCAAACATCTTTGCTACAACTCGACTTCCCTTTTCTTTTGCAAACTGAATTACTTTGCATTTGAAACCACCACTTTGTTTATTTCATTTGGCAGGAGCCGTATTTCTAAAAGATCAACTGTATTTCAGCTAAAACAAATGTGATTTACTAAAGCCTTCAATGTTTACTTCAAAATCACGGTTTCAAATGACTACAGAAAGAGAAAATATCCGACTCCTAATTCTGCTAATTCATTCGTGTTAGAAGTACATTTGTATCCAAAATTATTTGCCACTTTTCTCGAAACCCTAGAATAATATTCTTGTGAACATCTGCATTAAGTATAACATACCCTCTTTGCAGAATTATTTACTCCCTTAAGCATTTCCCCCGCATACATATTGTTCCTCTTATTGCTTGTCAATTCAGTATACCACTGTTCAAAAATCTGAGAAAAATCTTTGAATGAATGTCTTCAAGGGATAACAACATCAAAATGTAGCTTTCAATTTTCTACATAAAGAAAAGCTGCTCATTATACAGTGAATATACTTAAAATTGCAGGTGTGTATCATATGTCGGACTATACAGTACATATTATTTTTCACTTCTTGAAGCAATTAACAATCTCAAAATAGACTGAATATAAAAGTTATAACCATTATAATCCACATATTTCTTTAATTATTTTCAGTCACACACAAATACAATATTAAAGTTTGCAAGTACACTATACACAATAAAGTAAATGCAAGCATTTTTCTGTACAGTGTTCTTTAACAAAATCAATTTCTTCACAAAACTTGGATGTCATCAACTTGCAAATGCACTAGCAAATATATTTATCCTTATCGAGCGTTCAACATTATTAAAAATTATATAATTTAACATCAGCTGCTCAGAACTATTTGCTTTAGCAGCATTACCCAAATCTGTCCTAACAAACTCAAATTTTTCAATCTGCAGCCATCAATTTTATTCTCAATCAAAAAAAAAAAAAAAAAAAGATGTGTGTGTGTGTGTTTCCCTACAACACATTTATATGCACTTGGTCTGCATTTATACTATTCAAACTACAAATTCCTTAAAGATCAAAAATTTAAAGTTATCACTTATATTACTTCTATCTGCAAAAATTGTACAATCATGAAGAAATCCCGAGAATGCACTGAAATTTAGAGGAAATGAAAGCCGAGTATGCTTTGCAATAAATGCACTACCTGCAATGCATGCACGAGATGAGCAGCTCCTTCTGAATTTTTATGTTAGTTGTATAAATAGAGGATTTTAGTAGAATGATAAAAATGGTGTTTCACTCTTTGCCAGTGGTACACTTTCTGTGACAAGTGGCTAAGAATCATTGCTGATCAAAATAAGATATTTTTGCTGATTGAACAAAGGTGAATCATTGGCCTGCAACAAAGAGGATATTCCCATTGTAAAATCATAGCTTGTAAGGGGCATAATGCATTCTTAGTGGGGTACAGGGGGGGGACAAATAATGGGCTGAAAAGAAATGAACAAGTTGCAAACCTGACTGTGGACATCAAAATGCTGCAAGAATTACAGTAAAGGCCTTTGCAGTTTCATCTCGACAGCTTGGCACAACATTGGAGCAATACTATAAGTTAGGCATCATACACAGGGTGAATGTCATCTTCCAGAGTACATTACCAGCTTCATGCTGGATTTCCACCAATGAATGCATAATGATATGGAGTGAGAAATTCATCCATTGAGAATTCAAGCTATTCTCATTAGCTATCATTACACCAAGGAGGTTGCAGAGTCCAAAGTTATGGCTTTCATTCAAAGCATTCTTGGAAGTATGAATAGAATAATAATGTCCATCTACATGTTGCTACCTCAGCATATCTGATACTGTTTCCTTGGCCTGCTGATTCACCAGGCATGCCATGTATTGAAAATGTCTGGGATTTCGTGGAATGCCAACTTTCTTATGACACTCATGTTGCAGCCATTATTGATCAACTCTGAACTTGGGTGGAAGTTATATGGAATGTTATTCCTTAGGTACACACATCTAGAATCTATTTCATTCAATACCAAGAAAAATATGAGCCCTTTATAAAAATTCTTGGTATTTAATATTCTAGTATTACTCTAAAATAAATCATTCCTTTGTATCACTGCAAGATTGTATGCGGAACAAATTTTATTCAATTCCGATTATTCCTTTATGATGCTACAATTCTCACAAATGGAAGTGTATAAAAACTTTAACTGCATTACAAGGAAATGCAATACAATACATATCACATAAATGCTGAAAATGATTTAAAATGTCAAAAATATTTTCTCAAAATAAATTAAAAATATAATTACTTAGCGACCTTATACTAAAGTTTCTTAAATAAAAAAATAATAAAAAAAAAGAGTATTTTTTGTCTGATATCTTACAACTTAATTTTTTAAGCCTAAATCTATGATTCATGCTAAAAAAGGTACACTTATTTCAATTTAAAAAAATTTTTTTGCATACTTGCATATTATCCAATCAGCCGTGAAATTGTCACCAAACAACACAATTTAGTACAAATAATAGGTAAGTGTGATGTCAGAAAGCACTCAAAACTTTGGCACTTTTGTTCGACAACGATTGACTCTCGATACGCTACCTTTGGTTTTTAAGAACAAGGATACAGATTAACTGCTATGGCTGTATTTTTTGGAGGGGGGGGGCAGAGAGTTAAAAAAGCCTGTAGAATCATATCTGTGACTGCATTCTAGTTCATTTACAACTGGTTAAGAAGAGAATTAACATCTGTTGAAAGGCAAATAGCTGAATGCGACTAACAAAACAGTAATAGATAGGAATAATCATCTTCAGGATTTCTGCATTAATTACAATCTAAACAAAGTTCCCAGTAAAGTCGAATGGTTCAACAAATGAGAAGAAATCAACTTTTTTTTTTAAATACAAAACACAAAAATGAAGTCGGTCGAAAAATAATAGTAGTAATACACAGTAGTGGCCAATTGGTGGATTGTACAGTGGGGCAGATGAACATTTCATTGTAAAATATGCAGATAGAAATGCAGCTCAGAATTCCGCAGGAACTACTAAGCCAACTTTTACAGTCAATTGGATAATACACAAGCACCAACTGTTGAAGTTCCCCCTCTTAACAAAACACATTTAATTAATTTTAATATTTAATGTAAAGAGTGTGGCAACACTTAACATAAATGTGACCAAAAAAAGGGAAAAGAAATCTTACCAATGATATCACAACACAAAATAGCCACAGAAAGATGAAAAAGTAGTCGCCGCCAATTTTGACAATATGGACAACACATGCAAGTATAGGTAAAGCAATAGCTTGCAGAACAATAAACTTCTTCACTTTGTCTTTAAAAAAGAATCCTAGAGTCTGAAATACAAAAATTTAACAACTATTAAAAACACTTATGTACAGAATAAATAAAGCATATATGCAAAATTTCCTGCTGAAACTGGTAATCGAAATATAAGTGTATGAATATAAGAGTATAACTATTTAAATACAACCCTCTATCTCTCATCTTTAAGATGAATGAGAAAAGGATACTTCTTTGCTATAGTAGCCCACAACCATATTTAGTGAGATTTGCGCCAAGATATCAGCTCGTGAAGTGCAAACAGTAAAATAAACAAAAAAGGGGGAAATAATAACAGAAAAAGGAATCTGAAAACTTTCAGATTTTACATTATGCCCAAAGAACTCTTTTTAACATTCTGTGTGTTACTTTTATTTATTAAATATCATGCATGTTCTTCGCACTTAAACCTAAAATTCAAAGCGGCAATGTCGCAAAATAATTTTAAAATGAGCATGTTTTAAGAATTTCCGATGCACAGTCTCGTGCGCTGGAGACAAAAAGTTTTTTTGTTTCCCCTATACAGTGTTGTCATTGCTCGCTTTGAAACCGCTGTGTTTGTTAACTAAAAATTTGTTAACGTGTTACAAAATATGAAATCGATAATAAAAGAAATTCAAAATTCCAGATTCGGGTTTCCAGATGCCCATACTTAGTGGAGGATTACGTTATTAAAAATTTGATAGAGTATTTCCAGGTTGATGGTTCTAGGTACCATTCTTATATTACAATGTGAAAAATATACATACATTTATGCAGATTCCTCATTATTTTATTTCTTTAAATATAACACAGGGAGATAATATTTTGTGGCAACAATTTGAAAAGTGAAACAGACATTTAAAATTTTCGACGCAAAAAGCCAAAGCGAAATTAATAGCCCTTCTGGGCTAATACATAATTACAACAATAATGCTCACATGTCGTTACCTAAAAATATTTTTAAGAATCCTTATTATTATTATTTTATCCCATGCAATCAAGATAAAATGCTGGTAAAACATTGTTCCACTGAACTGCAACACTTTCCAACATATTAAATTGTTTGTTAAAACATTTCATGGGCATCAACTCTTTTGCCCAAGAATGTATTAATCTAATAGGAGTGATGAATGATATTCTGGAACCACTGAACCAATTTCCAACTTGGAGGCCCTTCTTTTTACAACTTTCAACATAGCATCTGCAAATGGTTTTGCTGTTAACATAAAGTTTCATGTTGTGGCCATTTTCACATATTTGTTCCTCAGGAAGATCTCTTTCTTGAAAAAAATTATATGGCATCCACCTCATTAGTTGGTAAATTAACGATTGTTAATGTCATATTCATAAAAAAGCAATGAATTTAAAATAAACAATACAAATTTGAAAACTTAAGTAAAATTAATAAAAAATAATATAAGAACATGCAGCAAAAGCAAAAATGCAATATGGCGTTAATATACGACCAGGTGGTGAAATACACAAACATGCAACCAGATTTGACAAGATAGTATAATGCACGTACAGTCAAAAGTCGTTAATTCGGACACCCATAATCCGGAATGATCTATATTCCGGACCTCAAAGCTACAAACTTTCTGCGCATGCATCGCGTTCACGCTTGCGCACAGGCGTTTACGAGAGCACATAAGACCCTTACAGCTGCGAATATGTTTGTGCGCATGCGCATTTAATGTGTAACGGAGTTATACGCTAAGCTAAAGTTATCTAATTCAGTTAATGTTGCAGATTGCGTTGTTGCTTATTATTATTATCCGGCTTATTATTTTTTGCAGACTGTTAGAGCAATTTTATAAAAGTAAGCTTGAACTTTCGATTATGTCAAATAGAATTTCCGATATATATTTACTACAAAGCGAAAGTATGTTTTGAAATCCGAAATCTGTTTATCAATTTCACGCTGCTCTGCGGCAGAGGGGGGGGGGCAGAAACGTCATTATTAGATTATGATAGATTAGAAAGATTATGTCAAATAGGAAATTTCCGATATATATTTACTAATATGTAATTTGTATCTACAAAGCGAAAGTATGTTTTGAAATCCGAAATCTGTTTATCAATTTCACGCTGCGGATTGGAAGTTGATCTGTCAGCACTATCCTTATCTTCAGAGCAGATATTTTTATTTTATTTGGTTTATAATTCCGTACTAAGTGTAGATTTCATCTCGATATACTCCGTCTTTGATATGATTTAAATCAAGTTCCTCGTCATTATAATTCGCTTCCGATAGTGAAGAAAATGACACAGAGGTTATTGAAAACGAAAAATTTCGATTGACAAATTAGTCGGCATTCTCAACACAGCAATTATAGGACTTGAACAGCGGAACTTTGTAACTAAACAAGAAATTTGTTTAATAGAATTAAAGAGAAAGTATTATCACATGAAACGAAGCAACTTACATTGAAGGAAATGTTTAATAAAGTAAACAAATAAATATTAAGCTTTTTCTTTTTGTAAAATTTGATACCTTTTAGATCATAATTGTTCTTTATTTCATAAATTACGGTTTCATATTTTTAATTTTGTAATTTCTGCATGCCATCTTACCAGATTTAAACTGATGATCTATAATCCGGAAAAATCGATAATCCGGAATCGCCGAAGTCCCGACGAGTCCGGATTAACGACTTTTGACTGTAGTAATCTAATGAGAATAAAGCAATTTTCTGCTTTTTTAAAATCACATTTAAAATTTACTCTCTGGATATTTTTGCAAATAACTCTTGAAAGGAACCCTCTGTAAAGAACATATAATGCTAAAATATCATGACTTTAGTAATGTGTTCAGTTTTGAAGATATTTGTACAGCTAAGATTTTTTCTCAACTTGAAATTTTATCAATTGAACTATAAAATTATGTATAAAGATCAGTATAAATTTAATGAATATCTCATAAAGCATTTTATGTATTTGAAATTAGTGTTCTGGATTGAGGAAAGAGGAATCAGTAAACAACAACATGAACATTAAATACATTAGAATATGCTACTTTTGTTTACAAAAACGCCATTATGTCCATATGAGGAATATTACTAATTTTTTTCTAAAAATGGACCTAAGCCTTTAACCAACATTTGAAATTTCACATTACAGACTGAGCTAATAAGTTTGCTAATTACGGCAACTAAGCATGGTGGTCACTTTAAAAAAGTTTAGCCAACCAAAGGTTTGAGGCTGGAATCATACAATCATGAATAATTAAATATAATGCAAGAACCATGGGCAGAAAGCAAAGCTCTAAATAATTTTACATGTTCTTTTTAGCTTGCTAAACTGCCTAAACATCTAAAAAGTACACCAAGTATTACCATGATATCAATTACAAAACTCAGATTTTCAGAATTACATAAATTAAAACTTTCCCCAAAATATTTCAGGTATAAAGAAGAAATTTTTTTAATCACCTGCTTATTAAATCCATGACGTTCTTCAATCACAAATGTCAGGTAGATACTCCATGGCAGATCTATTATAGTATTTACAAAGGCTCCCAACAAAGAAAAGACCACAGTATGTGTAATCTAAAAAATGAAAAAATACTGTTATACGAATTCAGATAAGTCAACAAAATTTTAAATTTTGGAATTAAAAGTATTTGAATTTGGAATTAAAAGAAGAATAAAATTTGGTATTAAAAGTATTCCATAATTTTTTTTACTATTCAATTAATTCACTTAAAACTAACAGATTCATCTACTTAGTGAGATTTGCAGTAAATGAATCGTAAGGATTGAAACTTTAAAAAAGTATTTAATTAAAAATTATTTAAATTTAAAAGGAAAAAATTCTAACTCTTTCTAAAAATTCAAAAGCAGTTACAATATAGCAATAATTAAAAATTTTCAAACAAAAAAGTCACAGAACCAGAAAGCATTATATTAAATAAACACATTGCATTGAAATTAAACTATAGCATACTTCAATTATCCAGACTAATTGAGATGACTGTGAATGTATATAATTGTAAAATACAAGTAACTAAGTAATCTTTCTCTACAGATATATATTTACGAAAGTATAAAAGAAGGAATTTTATTTTTTCTTTAACGTATTTTAACAAAAATTATATAAGAGTTAAAAAAGTAAAATATTTTTATTTCTGTAAAAGAAAATGCATTCTTTTGAACAAATTAAATTACCAATTTATCTTTTATTTGCCTAAGAAAAACCATTTCTATTTTAACTAAATGTAAAAAAAAAATAAATTTTTAAGCACAGTTATGCCAGACGCACGGCCTGCTAAATTTATGACTTTTTCTTTGGTATAGTACTCATACGACTTCAGGGAGATTTTGTTTTGAATGGCAAACCATTATAATTCGAGTTAAGAACACTGAATACTGTTTTATATTTTTGGTCACTTTTTTTTTCTTCTGTTGTGCTTTTTGTTACTGAATTTTTTAGGATTTTTACTAACTTTTTTAGCATTATTTCCCCTTTTTTTAACAGTAAATAAATTTGATTTTCCATGGTTTCAATTATTCCCATTTCACACTTTTGTAAGTCTGTGAAAATGGGATATTCTCTCCAAAAATTTTTGGCAGTAAAGTTTCGTCAGCATGATATGTCTAGCACATCTGCTCCAATTTTTATTTACAAAATCCCTAAAAAAACACAAAATTTTGTTTCACTAGAAAGAAATTATTCAGACAAAATCCATTCATTTAAAATTAGATCCTGACTTCTTTTAAATTCATGTAAAATAATCTTTGAGTAAGTAATTTATATAAAATAATCAGTACTTTTCCGTTTTGCCGGCGCAGGCGATAAAGTTGACAATAATGGTACAACTGATGCCAAATGGAATATCCTCACTGATAACCTTTTATGCATCATTTTCAAAACAAATTGCAGCTAATTCTTATCAGATTGATTGTTTCTTTAAATACTGGCATACAATTATATAGGATTTTTATCAGATAGTTCAATTTTATGCCCTAAGGCCATTCACAGTAATTAAATCAATTAGGATGCAATCACACCGCTCACCCAATGGTGAGAATATAGAAAAGACGAAGTCAAGGGTTAAATTCATTATTTCTAATGAGAATGCACTAGCGAAGTAAAGCACTACGATTTTACATAATTTCTGAGTAAGCTATTCATACGAATTGAAATAATTCTTGCATTCTAAATTAAGATTTAACTTGAAATTAATGCAGATAATTACTAAGAGAATTAGATATGTTTGCTTAGTTTACGCAAGATGAGATCATTTGGGATCACGCGATATGAACCAGTGAATCAGGATGTTGAACCGTGAAAATATAGTAAATTCTTAAATTAATGTCTTTTTACAAATTTATTGTCTTTATTTATTGGCTTTTTACAAAATTTTAAACGATATTAAAATGTTTATGCCTTCAAAGTAAAAAATTCTTAGAACTAATATTTTTTATGTGTATAGTGAGTGTATGTTGTTGTCAATAAAGTCTACTTGGCGAGATTTGCACCGGCGAAACGGAAAAGTACCAAATAATAAAATATCAGTGGGCAGAGTAGACTTTAAGGTACCCCTTGTATATGGCAAAGTTGTTGTTTGATTTATCGCCAAGTTGTTGTTTCATTTATGGTAGCCTGAGTAGTTGAATGTTATGGGAAACCCTATTGTGACGTAATCGGGTGCATGATTCTGGGAAATTTTGAATCATGGGATATTTTGTAAGCGTTTTTGTGGTTGTGTTGGTTTGATTCTTTAGACGGTAGAATGGCTGAATGTAGTAAGATTAATTTGAAGTTTCGGTACGATTTGGAGCGAAAGGGGACAAGAGCTTTAATTGACTGGTGTGTAAATGAAGGTTTACTTAGTAGCCATTATAAGTGTCCTGTATGTAGGAAGGATATGCATCTAGTCGAACGTAAAAACCATTTAGATGGATTTGAATGGGTTTGTAGGAAGAAAGGTTCAGATGGTCACTAAGTGAAGCGTTCGATCAGAAAGAGTACTTGGTTTGAAAAAAGTCATTTGAGTATGATTGATATTTTGATTTTTACGTGGCTCTGTGTGTACGAAGCAAACTCGAAAATCATGATAAGTGAATATTTGCTTTTGGTAGTGCTTAAATGTGTAACATGTTTTTCTTTTTTTATGTTATTTTATTGCTTGGTTTAAAATGTATTTTATTGAGATCATGTATTTTTTTGTTTGCCTATATTGTAGAATTTGGTGCTCCTTTGACTTTTTAAGTGAAAATATATCCATGTGTACATGGACAAAGTAAAGGAAGTGCGCAATGCAAGTTTGTGCAATTCTGGGATTTTTTTTTTTTTTTTTAAGTGAAAATAGGTCGACGTGTACATGGATAAAGTCAAAGGAGTGCTCAATGCCATTTTGGGATTTTTTTTTTTTTTTAAGTGAAAATAAGTTGATGTGTACATGGATACCGAGTTTGTGCAATTGTTTGTCTTGTTATTTTGGCTTCACAAGCCAAAATAAGTCAAAGAATTGCACAAAATAGGTATCCATGTATCGCCCAAAATCGCCAAGAGGTACCCTAAACTATACTTTTACCATATCAGTTTTAGTACATTTATGTTTACTTAAAAATTAAAAACATGAAAAATTTCACAATAAACTTAACTGTAGTAGTTAGAAAAACATAAAGCAATCTAAATACGACTTCCACGTAACCAAGAATCTAGGTTATTAAAGTTCTACTAATAATTCTACTTCCAATTTTTATATTCTATAAATTCCTTTTCTTTATTTTAATCTGATATCAGGAAATATATAGTACATATAAACATGTAATGCAGATTTTGGTATTATTCAATCAATAATAATAATAAATTCAATACAGTTTCAGAAGTAATTTATACCATATTTTCATCGGGTGAACAGTGCTTTAAAGCATACCCTTGCTTTTACCTTACATAATACGACATATGTGGGTGAGTCTGGCACAAGTCTCACCAAAACCGCACCAAAGATATGGGTTAAAGCACATTTTCCTGATTTTCATTCAAGTAACATCAAGGCTTTAAATTCTGATAGCCAAGTACAGAAATTATATCAAGACTTTTAATTTTGTTATCTAAGTAATTGCTGCAACTTTTACATTAAACACCGTTTTAACAATAAAAAATATATCTTTATATTTAATGCTGTTTTAATTATTTCTGCTTAGAACTTTTCATGGATTTCATTTATCATTTTACAATCGTCTGATACACGACAACATTCTATGTGATGACTGAATAACAAAATTTCAAAAAATTCAAATTAGAAACTGTTTCGAATATTTTGTTTATATAATTTTAACCATTCCTCCAACCCACTTTCGTGTTTATTACATTTTTATTACCAACAGACATCACATCCAAAATGAATATTAATTAAAGGATTATTAATACATTTAAAAGTTATTAGTATACAAAGTCTGTCCCCTATACATTTGTGTTTTTAAGGATTAGCAATAGCATAAACTGGTGACTCTGAAATACCTCAAACTTAAAAAACTAAAAACTTCCAGAAGAATTTTATGTGCTACATGGCAATACAATTTAAAACCAAAATTCAAAATTGCTTTAAATTTGCTTTATAAGATACGATTATTTAAATATGATTCTGATGAAAAATATACTATTTAACTACATATCTTAAATTTTATGCTTTTTAGCTGGTTTTACTTTGTAATTTTCTTATATTTTCATACTGGGAAAACTCTAAAGGAAAGCTTTAATTTAACAAAGCACTTTTAAATATGACAAAAATAAAATTATTTGCACTGCATATTTTTCACGTTTCTTGTTCCAAGATGGGCTTTACAACTCTACATGTTCATATATAACAAATATTAAATCCAAATATTTAATAATTAAACATTTGTTGAATCTTCATATTAAATTTTACATATGTCAATGATATGGTTAAGACAATTCAGATCAAATATAATTTAATTAGAAAAAATATGATCACTAGTGACAGGAGAATGAAATTTGTACAATTTAAGCTTCATTAATTCAATAATAAAATTGCAACCATACAAATTTTATTTGCAAAACTTAATTTTATGATTGAAAAACACTTTCACCAATATCCTCTAAAAAAACTGAAGTTTCGAGATCGACGGATGTGACAAAAACCTGGGAATCTCCCACTAAAACAGGAAGAGTTGGCAGTTATGTAATACATTACAGATGGAAACAAAGTTTATTTTCCGGTAAAATCCTAGGAGGCGACAAACTGGGAAAGTGCAGAATCGCCCACTGCTTCGCACGTTTCTCAAAATCGCCAACTTGGAAAATAACAAGTCAAAGAATTGCACAAACTTGGTACCCATGTAAACATCGACCTATTTTCACTTAACATCAGAAAATTGCACAAACTTGGCATTATGCACTCCCTTGACTTTGTCCATGTCCAATACGTGCCAAATAAATGGGTGATTCTGCATATTAACCTTAGCTCAAAAATTTATGTGGTATCTAGTATATCAAAGTATGGTTACCAAGATTGGCGCAATTATCGCCAACCAAACTTATTTCTGCCATCGAGGCAAGGGTGTGGGCTCTGCTAGGATCCAACATATTTTACTTGCTTCTTCACTAAAACATTCATATAAATTTACACATAGTATTTTTCTCACAACAATATACAACATTTAAGGGAAGAGACTTACCTCATGCTCTTTTCCATATCCAAAATGTGCTGTGACTTTTCCACTTACAGACCATAGGAAAGGAATACCACCAAACACTAAAACTGCCTTTAAAAAAAAAAGAATTACGAAATGAAAATTGATAAAGAATTTACATTTTACTGTCTCTTATTATTAAAAATTCAGTTTCAAGGAAATTTTTCATCAATCAAAACAACAGTATTAAAAATAGTACACATAAAGAAATATATGCTCTCAACATAAAACTTACTGTTTGGAAAATCTGTTCATATAATGAGCAAACAAAGGAAAATTTGCTTTTATCTAAGTTGTAAAGCCTAGCTTTATTGTAAGTAGTTTGGTCCATGACTCCTGCTAGTTCTGGAGGCACAGAAGTAACTTTCTGCATTACAACATGCTACAATAAAAAAAAATTCACACAAAAATTACTAACTTAGAAAAATACAGCTACAACTAAAGTTAACATGTCAAAAATTTATGAGGAATAAACACTCAAATAATTTATTAAAGTACAGAAATTTTTATTTTTAAAAATTATTTTTTAAATAAACCTACACTAGACCTCGTGTTTTCTGCCATTCTCTTTTAGACAGTCCAGTATACTCTTAAAAAAGCAAAATATTAAAATTTTCTACAGCGTCATTAATATCACAGCAACTGCAGAGGTCATGTCAGCCAATCCATATAACATACATATTGGCGAGTTGACCAGACCCATCTGGGGGTGGAGATATTTCCGCAGTCATGAAAGTTCCACGATGAAAATTTGCTATACCTACAGCTTTAGGAAAGTAATGTTCATTTATTCAATATAAGGAAGGTAAGGAACTGTAATTTTCATTAAAGAATCACAGGTCTAAGGTGAAGTACTCGGGACTACCTGCCTTAAGAATAAAAACTTTCGTGGACTTTCTAAATGACATTATACAAGATAATTTAAACGACATGTCAGCCAATATAGAAGTTGAAAACAAAAAACAAAATGAATTAATCAGCATTCATTTAAATACATTCAACTGTCAAGTCAAACAGCAATTAGTGTCACAATTATGTACCCATTACAAATGCAATAATTTGATATGGCATTACTAGAAATCAGGGTTGATCTTTACAATATGGTAACTGGTAGTTTGGCGACATTTTGGAGGCGATAAAGGTTACTACCTGGCACTTTGATAATAATGTGAGCAGTACTCAGTTCCGATTACGCATTATTTTGTGTGAGGGAAATGAGAGATCATGGGATATGTCATGTGATATTAATGGACGAATTACGGTTCTTTAATCGGAAAAGGGGGGAAATCGGGAAAAAATCTGGAAATTTTGTATGTGGCTTTATTCTGTGTTGTGTGAAACAGTGTTTGTGAATTTTTTGATCCCATGGCCGTAACTAAAGTGAATTCGGAATGGGTATTTATGTATGTGTTAATTTAATGTATGTGCTCATTTATATTTTAAGTAGTGTTTTTGAATTTAATTATATTTTAATTAAATGATAGTTATTTTGTGAATTTTATGTTTGTAGGAATTTGGTATACGTTTTTAGTGAAGTATAAAGTGCATGGAAATAATTTAAATATCTGACAATAAGTATTTGTAATGGTTCCGGTATGAATTCGTTGGTGACGTGTATAATGTAATAGATATTTAGAGGTAAAAGTTTTTGGATATTTATTTATTTTATATGTGGAAATGTTCATTACTTTTTCGCGATCAGGTAATTTCATATATGTTCTTTTTTACCGGGTTTAAAGATTGAGAGAAAATTGTCATGTATTTTCGTGAAATTTTTCTAATTTATGAGAAAAAAGCAGTGTACATGGATATAGTGAAGAGTGTGCGCAATGCCATTTTTGTGCAATTCTGGGATGTTTTTTTAAGTAAAAATAAGTCGGCGTGTACATGGTTTAGCGATATTTTAATTAAATGATAGTTATTTTGTGAATTTTATGTTTGTAGGAATTTGGTATACGTTTAAGTTGAAGTAAACGTGCATGGAAATAATTTAAATATTTGACACTAAGTATTTGTAAAGTTTGCGGTATGAATTCGTTGGTGACGTTTATAATGTAATAGATGATTTAGAGGTAAAAGTTTTTGGATATTTTATTTATTTTATATGTGGAAATGTTCATATTTGGAAAGGGTAAATACTTTTTCGCGATCAGGTAATTTCATATATGTTCTTTTTTAACCGGGTTTAAAGATTGAGAAAATTGTCATGTATTTTCGTGAAATTTTTCTAATTTATGAGAAAAAAGCAGTGTACATGGATAGTGAAAGAGTGTGCGCAGTGCCATTTTTGTGCAATTCTGGGATGTGTTTTTTTAAGTAAAAATAGTCGGCGTGTACATGGTTTAGTGATATTTTAATTAAATGATAGTTATTTTGTGAATTTTATGTTTGTAGGAATTTGGTATATATGTTTAAGTTGAAGTAAACGTGCATGGAAATAATTTAAATATTGACACTAAGTATTTGTAAAGTTTGCGGTATGAATCGTTGGTGACGTTTATAATGTGTAATAGATGATTTAGAGGTAAAAGTTTTTGGATATTTATTTATTTTTATGTGGAAATGTTCATATTTGGAAAGGGTAAATACTTTTTCGCGATCAGGTAATTTCATATATGTTCTTTTACCGGGTTTAAAGATTGAGAAAATTGTCATGTTATTTTCGTAAAAATTTTTCTAATTAATGAGAAAAAAGCAGTGTACATGGATATAGTGAAGAGTGTGCGCAATGCCATTTTGTTGCAATTCTGGGATTTTTTTTAAGTAAAAATAAGTCGGCGTGTACATGGTTGTATGTGTATGTGTTTTTGAAAAACGCGTAAGGAGTATGGTATTGTGCACTTTTTCCCAATTTTGCAGTGAATATTTGTCATGATTAAGCAGTTTTGTTAGATAAAATTTCTAGCATAAGTGTAATTCGGCTAGTAGATTGTTGGAAGAAATGTTCAGTAGATAAAAAGAGAAGAAACATGTCTTTACTTCGTGAAGACAAAATGGCGGCGGGAAAAAAAAATAGAGGGTTGCTGTAGGAGAGTTGGTCGCCAAATTTTCGCCAAAAAAAACGCCAAGTTACCATAATGTAAAGATCAACCGAAATCAGCAAGTCTTCTAATGAGATACTGATCATGCAGTCTGAATAGTTTTCTTATGCTGGGTGTATGCCCAAATGAATTAATCACTTTATAATCCCAAAGGTAAGAACTATGACAAAATGAAATATTTTGCCTTTTTATGAGAAACAGTTAATAAAAATCATTTATTGCAACCATGTCATTTTTTGGTCATTTTTCATTTCCCCCTCCACACCAATTTTGTTCATCTTTCTATGGGAAACACAAGTCAGGTTGTTTGTCATCATCACAGAATACAGACAGAGAGATAAGATAGTCACCAGAGATGCAAGAATGAGTAAAGTCACACATATACTATTCAGACTTATGAAAGAGTAGATGTGTGAGATTAGATAAGTTATCATGCTATTCCTTACCAATGCAGTTTTCTAACTAGCAATCCTACCTGGAAAATCAAAGTCTTTTGCCAGAGTACAACATTTAAAGCAGTAGACTAAGGCATGGTTTAAAAGAATGCAACAACAAAGACAAAGCCATTTTAGGTCTAAAATGGAAAACAACATCTGAACAACATTTTGCTATCACCAGAACTAAATTTTTTACATAAAAGGCTAGTAAAAAATATTTGCATGGAAAACAAATAGAATTTTTGACATTGTTATAACTTTGATCAATTAAAAAATAATGAAGAAGTTGGTTTTGTTTTAACATGGAATTTGATTACAAATCAAACAAAAGTATCTGGTTGTTCTTTAAAATATAGCCACCACTCTAAATGCATACGTTTGAGGAAAACTTATTTAATGTCACATTTGGCCTGATACCAAGCCTTTAAAAATTCCACATTTATCATTATCTTGAAGGTGGTGTATTTAATTATGGCAAAGCACACTAGGGCTATCTGCCTAAGAGGAGGGATGCCTTTCGTGGAGGACTTTCTAAGGGAAGCTGGCTCGTATACACGTTACACATGGGGAAAACCATGAAAACACCCATGCAGCCAGCCCGTTCGCGGGATTCGAACCTCGGACCGAACTACCAGTGTTCAGCGACTTTACTGCTCAGCCGCTGGTGGGCCATTATCTTGAAGGAACTGTTTCACAATGGTACTAAAGAATTACAGAAAACAGCACAAAAATTCTAGAAGAATTACAGATTGTCACGAAGTACTACTAATTACTTTTTCGAAATTGAGCACAACTTTGAAATTCAAAATAAATTCGGTACATATCTGAAATCACACCAAAATGTCTGGAAATAATAAAATTTTGATTAAGTCAGTACATTTGGTCACTTTATTAAAACTAATCTTACCAGAACTCTCAAATTTTTCAGGGTAACTGAGGTCCTAAGTTCCTTTAATTATAACCTTTATAGCTGTATAATCACTTAGAATTAAACACAAAATGTTTCCTAAATACAAACAAAGCGATTCTCTCTGAAAAATTAAGGTGTCGGCATACTGGAAACGTAATCTCCCTCGCAACCTTAGAAAGAGAGATAACAAAGTGACAAATTCAAGTTTCACTTCACATAAAAACTCACAGAATGCTAGCAGATAAATGAAAATAGTTGATAATTCATGCAACAAAGGCACTACAAAACAAAACGAATTTCATTTTGAGCATAAAAAATATCATGCTTAAATTCTTATATTAAAATGGAAAAATATACGGCTATTTACCTGACGATAAGATAAGTAGGCTTCCCAAATGTAGACTACCCATGTAAAAGCTATAATAGCAGTCATTATTCCTTCTGGAGACCATGCCGGTGAATAAGCTAACACATCTTTTACAAACGTAAAATCCATCGCGGGGAACTGCAGTTTAGCAAATAATTCACGTAACATCTTTTTATATCATTGATATCAATCGAATCTGATTTTAAAGTTCCAGGCCTATATCCTAAAGCATGAATTATAGTTAAAGTTTCCGTTACAGCAATTCTTCATTCAGTTTTCATTGCCAAAATGCCGCACGTCATTTACATGTTGCCATCTGCAGATGTCAAAATATTTCGAAGTTAGGCCCAAGCACCGTGGAATAAGGCTCCTATATAGATCCTATATTAGAGGAGCCTTACCGTGGAAGAAACGGACCTTGAATTCATACAGCTTTCTCTGAACCAGGAAGTCACAAGTGATGATGTAGTCATGATCACACTGACTGCAAAGACGCAATTCGCAGCAAAGAAATAAACGTTTCAGATTTCAAAAAGCAGCCTTATAACAACTCTTAGTGAAAAAGAATAGCTTCTAATTTAGAAGAGAAGAAATCATTACTGTATGTATTTATAACATTTAAAAAGTTAATAATATATTCATTAATTTTAAAATAATAGATAAAATAGGCTACGTGTTCTTAAAATTTGCAAGTCCCCCCCCGGGTACATTTATTATTAAAACATGAGGGAAAAAATGTGGTATTTATTATCTTCTCTTCATCTGCATACTAAATGAGAGAATTCTGTTACTCTTTTTAGGATAACTACTATAACAGCCTTTTAAAGTTAGCCTCCCTTAAAAAAAAAAAAAAATACTTAGTTTGCCATAGTTTTAAATATACATGTCTGTGGCATAATATTTAATATTGTTGGCAGCACTAAAATTATACTACATTGAATGACAACAGTCATTGTTAGTTTAAATATTGTTCTTACAATGCAAAAATTGTTTTATGTGCAATTTTAATCGATTAAAACTTCATTTGAGGTTCTCTTATATTTATAACAATGTCATTTTTTTTTCCTTCAACTAAAGAAGAGGAACTTATGTTTGATTGCTCTTGAAGTCAGCAGTTTCATTCAAAATTTAATCTAATCTAAGATCGCTTTTTTTACCTAATTATATATTTTACACTGGCGTGTTTCTCTTCTCATTTATATTATAACCGGTATTTTTAAAATAATTTTCTAACTTATACTCAGATTTACACACATGCATAATATTTAATTAAACACAAGATCGTTGATTTAAGTTTGACAAAACAACTTTGCTCACAGTACGAATATAAGGTATTTTCTCCCTCCGTTCTACATGGCTTCGTGATGTAACAGTAGCACACTCGACGAGTATTCGAGAGGTACAGGTTCGAGTCCTGGCGAGGGCACTGCACATTTTTCATGTTTCCTGCTTCAGTAAAAACCTAATGACTCTATAGTGTTGCCCGCACTTAAAGGTCGTGGACGATAAATCTTCACCACCAGGATTCGGCTACTGAGTTCCCAGTCACCCTTTAAAAGGGGGAGTATATAAGGTATTTTCTTCCTCCTTTCTGCAATCCTTTTTGGTGTAACAGTAGCACATTCGGCGTGTATTCAAGAGGTCCAGGTGCGAGTCCCGGCGAGGACACTGCTAGCTTGGTTTTGTACTTGTTTATCTTGTTTTAGCTTGTTTATCAATATTTACATCGTTATTTGTGAGCTCTATTCTAAAATCGTTGATATCTGATTTATTATTTCTGTCATCATTTTCGTAATCGACCTCATAATAAATTAGCATCTTTAAGAAGTACTGTGTATTATGTTTCTTTTCTCGGCACAGTACTGGAATTTAGTCGCTTGCTTGGATTGCCATTTTTCACGTCATTTGCACAATCACTACATGGGAAATGTTCGCTGTAAATTCTTGTGTTCTTCCTATTAATAAAATACTGTCTTCGACAAATGTATCAGTTCTTTTTCTAAAAAAGCAAATTCTCCTTTGGGAAAATATGAGATATAATATCCCTACCTTTCTGGTTTCCATTGATTATATGGCTCTTTGCTACAACGTAAGACAAGAAATATTACATACATTTGCTACAAGACATATTACATAAACGATACTTTACAACAGTGGTCTCACACTGTTTAAATGCCAATATACAGATTGAAAGTAGCTGACGGACAACAATTAAACGCATAAAAAAGAGGGGACTATGGATTTTATTTAACAAAACAAAATTTATTAGTTAAATTAAAAAATTTTTACTGGATATTTCAAAACACATAAATAAAAATAGCGCAAAGAAAAATATCAAATTTATACTTAGATTTTGCCTGAAATCTAAAAATTGGTATCTGCAAGAAATTTATGTTGGTCAAAATTTGGAATTCAAACAGGTAAATATTAAAATTTGCAGCTGAATATTAAATTTTTCAGATTGACATTTATTCAACTTATTTTAATATATTGAAGTAATTACTAAATAACCTACTTTTAATTTAAACTAAAAAGGAATATGCGTAAGCTTCTCGAGAGGGATAAATCTACAGAATAAATAATGGCAACATATTCTCTTACTTTCATTTATTAGATTTTTCTGACACAAACAGAAAAATTAATATTTGTATGCAGATTATTGTAAACATCTTTGTTTTTTACTACTAGTCTTTCAGTTATAACACTTCGTGAAGTTTAAATTTTGATGACATTTACAATCTTGGAGGGAAATTATTAGAAAGCATAATCACAAATTGCCACCCAGATGTTATACTAATTAGGGAAGCCGACGGCAATACCAAAGGGCTCGGGTTCGAATCTCGGAGAAGGCATGATTATAACTGTCCGTCCCTTCGTAGAAGGCAAAGGTGGCCCAATTATTAGGTGCCTCCAGAGTAAAGTGACCACCACTTCTGGCTTTAGTTGTGACCAAGCGAAAAGGCGATACAGCAGTCGCCGCACAACCGCTATAGTGGTTAGCGTTGCTAACTGCCGTGCCGAAGGGTCCGGGTTCGAATCCTGGAGAAGGCATGGATGTTTGTAAATGTTTAATAAAAAGTTGTAAAAACGCTTGTTGTTAATTTCAATATTAACCTTCACGGACTGGAGGAAACGGCGTTCGCCAAAGTTCTGATCTCCTTTCTTCTTGCTTAAAAAAAGCAAAATTGATACAGATACAGATAAAGTAGCAGTCAAATTCCACTTTAAAAGTTAGAATGGAAGTCGGAGACTACAGAGTTTAAATCTAAACTGGCATATAACTTCTAATTGGCTTTTAAAAGCAGGATAATTAAAAACTAATCAGAGTTCATATTACATACTATCTAACTAAATTTGCATTCTGGTGAGGAAATGGAAAGGAGAATTTATAGTTAAGATTGAAATCATAAATAACTTGTTAATTTAAATAACAATAATGTTGGTAAATTTCTACAGAAACATCAAAACACAACAGACTTTGCACAACACAGATGCTTTCTGATCCAGGTTCGTTAACCCACTGAACTTGGAACAATGACATGGGAACACGTGTTCTGAATTTAATCATATTAGAAACTTTGATTACGTTAACGCTTTGCTGAATTAATTTCGTCTTGATACCATCAACAGGAGTGTCAGAGGGTAGCTCTTTCAAAACTGCTTCAACTGATTTGGTTTTCTGGCATGCGCAATGTAATCTTGAATACCATTCACTTCTATGTATCATGCAATTTCTCTGTGGTCATCAGTGTCAATTTGAAAATTATTGAGAAATTCACCTGTAATTCTGGCTGTAAAAATAGCATCAACATAGTCTTTAAGATTCTTAATAAATTCGTTGAATTTTAGAGGTGATATGACCATAATCGGTTTAATTATAAGTGACTTTGGAATATACACAGCAGCATACATCAACATTTACAATATTCTCATCAGTAACATTTTTAGGACTTATTACATTATCATTACCCAAAACAGAAAATTCAATTCCAGTACAGTAATATCCCTCAAACTTGACTCCCGATATCTCGAGCTTCCGTATAACAACATTTTAGGAACCTTTTTAAGGTATATCTAGGCCAAACTGAGAAAATATTACATGCAATCCATATAATTATTATTTATGCGTATGTCTTTCCTGCTCAAAGATTTGAGTGTTCTTTTTCTGTATTTTTTGCCGTTTTCACACTGTGTCATTAATTCTTGGAACTCCCTAACAAATTTCGAGATATGTTGTAATACTTGGCAACGCTGTTTGCTTTCTCGAGGATACGAAGAAAGCCAATCAGCAGCTGGCCGCTGGTACACGTTTCCTTTCTATGGTTGCGAAACGTTAGGAAACTTGTCTGAAGTTTTGTGAGTACAGTCGGTCACAAAAGTATTCGAACACCGGTACCCTATCAGAAAATGACAAGATGGCGTTTTTTTTCTCTTTCTCTCTGTGTGTCGTGTTATTCCATCCTAGGTTTTCTTCTCCCCCCCCCATCTTGGAAAAAACTGGAAAAATTGGTTACGATCTCTTTTTGAATGGGGAGATGCCATTTTGAGAAAAAGCTGACGACCCTATTTTGGAGAATGAACATGACCGCTCTACACACCCTTTACTCTCTCTCTCTCTCTCTCTCTTTGAATTGGGAAGCCATTTTGGGAAAAAAAAGCAGACGACCCTATCTTGGAGAATGGAAATGAACGCCTCCTCTCCCTCTCTCTTTGAAATGGGAAGCCATTTTGGGACCCTCTATTCTTGGGGAGGGAGAAAACTGAAGTCTGCATTTCGCTGTCTCTGAATGCGGAAAGCCCTTTTGGGAAAAGCGGACCCTCTTCTTCTGATCTTGGAGAACTGGAAATGAACGCTCTACACGATCTCTCTTTGAATTCAGAAGGTATTTTGGGACCTTCTAATGTTGGAAAACTGAAATGAACGCTCTACACCTCTCTCTCTCTCTCTCTCTTTCTCTGAAATGGGTAGCCATTTGAAAACTCCCTAACTTTGGAAAAAAACAGAAATGAACGCTCTACACATCTCTCTTTGAAAATGGGGGGGGTGTCATTTTGAGACCTCCCTCCCCTAAACTTGGAAAAAAAAAACTGAAATGAACGCTCTACACTTTCTCTCTTTGGACATGGGTGGGTAGCCCTTTGGGGACCCTCTCCTCTTGGTAGGAAAAAAAAAGAACTGAAGTGAAGGCTCTACACAATCTCTCTTGGAATGGGATCCATATTTCGGGAAACGTGGATCACCTCATGCTGGAAAACTGAAGTGAAGTGAACCACCAAGATTGGACTCTATATAATATTTTTTTTA